CGGCTGCCTACAGTGCCTGGGGAGGAGCTAGCGCCGGGGGCTGCAAATGTGCCTTGGGAAGCGGACTTTCACCTTTGCCGTAGGTAAGCCCGAGCGGTGTTGCGCGCTGCCGCTGCACGCGTGCGGAGCCGCATCAGGTGCCGAGGGGCTGCGCTGGGAGCGAGGGGTTTCCCGGAGCTCGCCTCGCGGTCTGAAGGCTTGGGGGTCGCGCTGGCAGATGCAGACGGGAGCGATGCGAGCTGCAGGGCTGCTCGGCTGCTACCGCTTTATAGGACGCGCGAGCGAAACGCGCGCTGCGTTCGCCTCGCTTCGCGAGCTGGATGTGTGGTGTGGTCTGCGGCGAGCCTGACTGACTAGCTGGCCGTGCATCGTCTGGGCTGAGCGGCGGGCAGAAGAGCGTTCCCCTGCGTTCCCTGGTAAACGATGTTCAGCCAGTCACAATTTGTTGGTAATTATAAAACTTGCAGTTAAGTAATTGTGCCAACGCTTGAGTTGCCCGTCTTGCCTAGTGCAGATCTCACTTGCGTGCTGGAACCTTGTTTGATCCCCTCGAAATACTAAGGGGTCTTTAAAGGCTTTCGTGCAAGAATTGTGTGTCCAGAGTTGCCCTATATTGCACTTTTCTCCCTGACGCGCTGACTGTGCTCCAAGCCTGTCAATCAGCCTCCAACAGCAACAGCAAGCACATGGCAGTCTGCAGCGAGCTCTCAGAGCCATTACACTCTGCCCCTAGCTTCGTTTGCAGCTTGCTACAGTCGCTGAGGTGTGCCTTGAAAACAAGTGTCTCTTCATGATTTCTTCCAAAAAATCTTTTGCATTAGGCATTACGGTTGCACTTTGTCGGCACTGAGGTCAGAAGGGACTTGCAGCAAGGACCATGCGGTGAAGCAGAGAGCTGGACCCGGGGACGTTGTTGTGCACGCACACATCCAGCGTGGAAGGATCGCGTGTGACTGCTCCAGTCGGGAAATTAAAAAAACCCGAGTCGGCGGAAGAAAAGCGGGAATCCCGCGTTCCTGGCTCTGCAGTGTCTTCTTGGAGACCTTCGCAAGTGCCTCTCGCTAGGTGATCCTGCTCGCCGGTGCCTGCAGCAGCCTGCACCAGACGCTTCCCTCCCTTACGCTAGGCTGAGACAAACCATTTGCAGCAAGGGCTTGATTTTTTTTCGTCACCTCTAGGACGAGCCCGGCGGCCGAAGAAAGTGTTCCCCTCTGAGTCCCGCTAGCACGGAGCGATCCGCCTCTGCGGAGAGCAGCGCCCGCTCGGCGGACCAGCGAGATAGGGAAAGGCCACC